AAGCCAAACTCCTTTTGGGAGAATGTGCTGTGGACAGATGAAACAAAATTACATCTTTTTGGTGAAGACCATCATTCTACTGTTTTCAGTAAAAGAAATTAGGCCTTTAACCCTTTCACTGCCAAGCCCTGGGAACATTTTGGACCTCAGCTGACCACACCATTTTTGCAATTTTTCCCATTGATTTGATTTTCAATTGCTGTGTTTGTATCGTTTGTAAAGGACCCCCCAAATGATATATTTTCTGAAAGCACAGGCCTGGTAGAATAAAAAGATGGTGCTACTAAATTTGTAGGCCCCGCGATAAATGTGCAAATGTACCAGGTAACCAGGCCACTTGCAGAGACCGTTCTGTCTCTGCAAGTGGCCGGAGCAAGTGGCTCCGCCCAGCTCTCAGCAGCAGGGTGTCGGCCGGCCAATAGCTGTCCGTTCGGCCAGCTTCAAATTTCACCTTGGCTCAGTCAAGACGAAGCATATGCCTTCGGCTTGACTGAGCCCCTCGGCCAACTTCAGGAGCTGTATGGGCTATAGTGAATAGCCCGTACAGCCAGAACTACCGCCGGTGCAGGCGGTGCGGACGCACCAGGGCCTCCGGCCTCTAGGGGGCCCAGCACAGTCCCAGCGCCGGATCTGTACCCAGTGGCCAGCGAGCCCCCCATCTCTGCGCCGCGAGTGTCGGATGGCGCTAGAATGCTTAGCCCGATCGGGAGCTGCGCTGTGTAATCTGACACAGCGCGGCTCCCGTGCCGGTGATCGATCAAAAGTACGAACTTATCGAGTTGTGGGACAGCGTCAGCATTCTGTCACCACGGCAACCCTCCGCCAATCACAGCGCGCTACTGCCCGTTCCCCTCCCACTCTGCTGGGTTCGTCGGCTGTGAGCGGGAGAGGCAGCGCATGCGAGTCTGCGAGAGGGAGGTAATGTATACAGAGAGGGCACCTCTCTATATACATTGCCCCCCTTCCCCCTCTCTATATACATTGCCCCCCTTCCCCCTCTCTATATACATTGCCTCCCCTCCCCCCTCTCTATATACATCGCCCCCTCTCCCAAAAAAATGTATATAGAGAGGAGGGGAGGCAATGTAGATAGAGAGCAGGTATCCAGCAGCCCGCTGGCCGCTGTGAGGAGGGTGCCGCAGAACAAGGAGGCACTGAAGACAGCCCTGCAGGCACATCATGGGGCCTCGGACGGCAGTGAGGACCCAGCAAACAGAAAACACACAGGAAACAGATGAAGACAGAAGACCAGCCAGAAGAGGTAAGGGGGGTAAATAATTCATTTAAATGATAATTATTTGTAGCCTAATGTTGTATAAAGTACTGTTGCAGAATGGCACCCTCTATAGAGGACTACAAATCTCAGCAGTACTTTATACAGAAATGCTATTGTTATATAAAGTATTGCTGGGATGTGTAGTCCTCTATAGCCTGTGGCATTCTGCATTGCTGTAAATATTACGGTTGCACCGATAAATCAGCCGCCAAAAGATATCGTCCGCAAATGGCACTTTTGGCTAAATGCCAAAAGAGCAATTTTTCTGCTGATACAGCAGCGCATCCGTGCTTTCTTTCCTCCCCGCTGGGCGCTGCTCTGTGTCCCAGTGGGGAGGAGAGAAAGTGACAGCCGGCCGAGCACTGCGGGAGGAGAGCGCTGTGTTTGTGTTTTTTTTTTGGGGGGGGGGCAAAAAAAATCTTGCACCAGGGCCCTTTGTTCCTTAGCTCCGCCACTGCGCACAGCTGCCCTTCGGTTCTACTGAACCAAAGGGTTCCTGGGGCCGAAGCTAGCCGAAGGATCAGCCGAAACTGCGGCTAGATCCTTTGGCAGCTTTGTGAATAACCCCCTAAATCTTTATTCCTCCAGACACAAAGAGTGCACTCTTGTTCTTTGCAATGGCCTTTGTGCTGTTACAGCTGATGTGTGGAAATATGATACAATACATAGTCGTGGTTAATACTCATATTACTGTGAATTGAGAATTTATATAGTTAAAGGAGAACTATGGAGTTAAGGCTTTTCCCTATAATTCTCCTTAGGGTAACGGGAGGACACAAACTAGCGTCCTCCCGTCACCCTAGGCTCAGTACTGAGACACTGCAGTATACCGCGAGCTACTGCTCACGGTATACTGAGACGCCGCAACTGAAGCGGATCCCGACAATTGTGCAGGGATCCGCCCAGCTGCGTGACTGACAGCTGGCTCTGCCTATCTAGAGGCAGAGGCAGCTGTACCCGCCCCCTCCCCCGTCCGTTGCACTGGCGTATCGGAGCGGGGAGGGGGGAATCCAGCCCCTACCCTGACACGGCAGAGAGCCGTGACAGGATCAAGAGGTGAGCGAACGCTGGTATGTGTTCGCACACCTCCCGATCTACTGAGCCGACCTGTGACAGTCTTATTGTGAAAAGCACTCACCTCATAGTTCTCCTTTAATTTTCCTTAAGCCATTGCATATCAGTAATATAGCTGGTTCATGTGCTGCCATCTTGTGGTCATTTTGTTTAGTGCACTTCCTGTTCTTTGTTCCTTTTTTATAATGTATTTCCCCTTTTTTCTTCATGTATAAATTTCTTCACCAACATGGCCGCATGTCATATGAACACATGTTCATATGCTCACATGCGGGAAAGCATTACCATCTTTTGACCTGCAAATACCGTCTTTCCAATCATCTGCTACATCCTGTTGTCTGTCAGTAACCTGTTGCATTCAATAAAGATTCTCGCTGATTAAAAGGTTTCTGGTGAGTTCAGCTATCTGATAAGGATTGTCCGCGGTGATTGTATCTGCTTATACAGGCCGGGCATAAAGGTCTCAGGGATAAATCACTAACTCAACAATTGGAGTCTACGGAAGAGCCCTGGGGCCATGCTAAAAATTTTTTTACAGAATTCTGACTTTGAAAGACAGAATTCTGTGTTTAAAAGACAGAATTCTGAGATTGAAAGTCAGAATTCTGAGATTATAACGCTGGTAGTAGCCTCTAAAGCAGTGGTCTCAAAGTACCGGCCTGCTGGTCAGTTGCAGCCCACGAGCCGGTACTATGTGGCCCGCAGCCAGCTACACGGTCACAGACCGCGTACCAGACTTGCGTGAGTAGCTACACGGTCTGCATCTCTGTTCGATGCAGACCGCATAGCTGCTTCTGTGCCGGCACTCGGATCCTTTCGGCAGGCGTCTTCGCTAAACGCCGGCCGAAAGGATTGATTAGATTAGTAAGGTCTGCAGCAAACATTACTAATCGCCACTAGATAAAGGGATCAGTGATCGTGGCGCCGCTCACAGCCTCCTCCCTGCAACGAGGTAAGCAGGAGAGGGGGCTGTGTAGTTTTTGATGCAGGAATCCCTAATTGCACCTAAACCTACAGATATGAATGGGGCCTTATTGTGTGTATTGGGGTCCGTAGTACCATATCGCATATAGTTAAATTTTATTTTAAAGGAGAACTATGGGGTAAGTGCTTTTCCCCATAGTTCTTCTCAGGGTCACGGGAGGACATAAACTAGCGTCCTCCCGTGACCTAAATCTCAGTATTCCGGGAGCTACAGCTCGTGGTATACTGAGAGCGCCGCTGCCGGGACGGATCCCGACATTACTGTCGAGATCCCCCCAGCTGCGTGAGTGACAGCTGGCTCTGCCTATCTAGAGGCAGAGTCAGCTGTACCCTCCCCTCCCCCATTCGTTCCTCCAATCAGCGCTGGAGGATCAGAGCGGGGAGTGGGGGGGATCCCTGCACGGAGCTGTGACTGACAGCCAAAAACACTCTGCAGGGACAGGGTAGAGAAGTGAGCAAACAATGGTATGCGTTCACTCACTTTTCGATCTATTGAGCCGACGTGTGACAGTTTCATTGTCACACATCGGCTCAAACTATGAGGATGAGTTAAAATCACTCACCTCATAGTTCTCCTTTTAAGTTTGAAATTTGGTGAGCGGCCCTCATGGGAGAAAAAATTTTGTCGAGTGGCCCTCGAGGCAATTGAGTTTGAGACCCCTGCTCTAAAGAGTGTTTTGATTGGTAAGATTATGAGCAACAGTGTAATAACCACCCATGTGGCACAGCGACTATCTATCTATAGACAAACTGTGCATGAGCTTTGTAAAAGCTTTGTCTCCTTGGTATCTGTAGGTGCCCATATCAATAAAAATACAGTATAGTTAGACTGTGCAAAAGCTTTATAAAAGCTGTGTCTTCTTGTTATCTTTGAGTACATATTGGGGCTAAACAGCGTTCTCTATCTCCATTGCTGTATTGGTATCTCCTTCAATGCATTGATTGTCTGTGCTGGCATAGTGGGGTCTTGAGATCTTCCTGGTCTGTCATGTTTGTCAGGCATTAAACAGAGTTGTGGACAAGAGCAGCTTCATTATCTGGAACAGCAAACCGGTAACCTTCATATGCCATCAAAAGCAGACAGCTGCAACATAAAGAGTCCTACTGAAAATATGCAGGGGGATCTAGCACTGCCCATTATTGTCAAACCTCTCTAAAATGTAATTCCCATTATTCCCAACCTGTCTAACTTCTGAGGTGCAGACTTAGTCTTAGACTTTTACCAACCAGAATCCTGGTTAGAGAATCATAAAGAATTCTTTATGCTTCTATGCCCTAGTGGTGAGCTATGTCCAAGAAAGAGTGGTGTAGTCCCTTCATTTTTTTGACCCATATTTAGTATAAATAAGCCCCTAAGCCTCAGAGAGCCCTTGTGCAGTTGCAAAGCCTGCACAAATGGTATGTGCGCCCCTCTCACTTTCTTTGCTTGGCTTCACAACCCTTCCATTTTTGTTCAGAGGTGTCCGCACAAGACAACAGTGAAAGGAAAAACCTAATCACAATTGAATAGATGTACTCCCTCATACCCTGCAGTTGAAAGGTGCAGAGCCATGAGTGCTTTCTATTACATATATTGTGATACTTGAGGCATTCTGTATTTTCTTAGCTTAAACAAACAGCAGAAAGTAACTATTTAAATATAATTTTTTGTTAAAATAAAGCTGACCTGACTACACAAAATTACACTTTAAATAAATGTCTAAAGAGATGCGGTACTTAATTAACCTATGTTGCACTGTGTGTTAAAGCCTTACAGCTTATTCCATATTTACTGTTTTACATTCACACATGAAATAGCCATCTTCAGGGCAGCCATACATTTTCATTATTATAATGATGCAACAAGATCTAAGTTTTATATTGAATTTACAGGCATCTTGAGTGCCACTTAAGCTTCAATATATGCTGTGATGGGGTTTAATTAACCTTATAAGCAACATCAGTACAGTCCGCCAGAGCTGTGCTAAATATAACTGAAAGCTCATGGTGCTTGATTGCTATATTAAAGCTAAACTCCAGGCAGACTTCAAAGACACAAGTTAATCTCTGCATTCATCGATACATCATAATATATTTTTTTAATGCAACCAGTGTTAGTTCCTGAATAGGTCTTGAAATCAGCTTCTTACAGCCCTTGTACAGCAGAGCACAGAATGGGAGAGGGAAAAGCAGCACAAGGAGAGTATAAGTTGTGCTGTAATGCACATGTGAAAACAAGGAACATGCAGATAGGGGAGAGAGCAGAGTGACAGAGAGATTCGCTGATCAGCCTGCTGCTTCTGCACACACAATCTATTCACAGGCGCAAGGAGACATGTCAGACATGGTTGTGTGATATGTAGAGCTGAATGGACGAAAATACAAATGCTTCAGCAGGTAAAATAGCCCCTACAAATCAGTGGCAGACCTAAAGAACGATAGACCTTGGTGCAAGATTTTTTTCTCAGGCCCCCCCCTTCCTGCTCCGGTGGGGGACCCAAAGAGGATCACACTGCCCCCCAATCCCTCTGGTGGTCTCTGCACCAAAGGAGCTTACATTCTAATGTCCCCCCACAGTCACACATTATTATTATGCATTTATATAGCTCTGACATACACCGCAGTGCTGTACAGAGAACACTGAGCCAGTCACATCAGTCTCTGTACAGAGGAGCTTACACTCTAATGCAGAATGGCAAACTGTGGAGGGACTACAAATCCCAGCAATACATTATACAGCAATGCAGAATAGTATATACATTGGACTCTGGACTTAGGGACACACTGGATGTGGACGCGCTGGACTCAGGGATGCACTGGACTCAGGGACACACGGAACTCAGAGACGCACTGGACCCAGGAAAAGTGATCGGCTGAGCAGGCCCAAGTTCGGTTCGTATTTGAACTTAAGAACATCCAAAAAGTTTGAATTCGAACTCAAACTCAATGCAAGTCAATGGGGGGTTGAACTTTCAGAAACAATTGTCCCATTTAAGAGAGCTTAAATGCAAGTTATTGGCAATAAAAAGGGTATGGGGATCCGGGTACTGCCCTAGGAGACAAGGAATCAATGAAAAAAAAATGTCTTTAAAGGGGCAGTGATTTTTACATCAAGGGTGTAAAAGGGTAAGAATAAAAATTAAAAATTAATTTAAATATTGTGCCTGGGGGGTTCCCTTAAACTGCCTGATGTGGCGGATCAGTATGGTGTATAAGACCTGCTGCAGCAAAAAGTGACATTTAAAAAGAAAAAAATTACATTTCAATTGCCGGTAATTGGTTTTCCTTTAATCTTTTAAACAACTGCTTGGGGAGGCAGCCTGTATGAAGAGGCCACATTAGAGGACACTCGGAACAAGGTTAGAGATTTCTTGGATAAATTCTGGTGCCTCTTTGCAGACGCTGGATGAAAGTAACAACAGGTGCTTTAAAATTGAGCCTTTGGTGCCTTCACGCTGTAACCCTTCAGAGTTATTCTTGACGAGTGCAAGTTTGGACCCTGCTGTAAAAAATTATAATTATATATAACTAGGGATGTCCCGATACCGATGCTAGTACCGATATCGGGGTCGATACAGGGCATTTTCAGGAGTACTTGTACTCCTGAAAATGCCCCGATGCATAGATCAGATACCAGCCCTTTACATTTTTTTTAACTAGCTTCGGCCATTGACCCGCATAGCCCCTCCCCCGGAATACCTCTCCACCAAACGCAGGCTCCCTCTCCGCTCTGACCTCTCTGGACGGAAGTGTGACAGCATGGCGGGCGGTAAGTGTTATGTGTGGACAGTCTCTTCTCCCTGCTGGTGTTGGCTGCAGAGTTCTGTGTCCCTTTCACAGACCTCTGTAGCCAGCACGAGAAGAGACTCCGGCTGTGAGTTCCCCCGCTGCCCCCTCCCCCCTGTACATTAGCTGCTGCTCCTCCGTGTCCCCTCCTTTTCAACTTGGTAAAACTGTTTGCTTTTGGTAATATATCACAAAGTATGAGATGTCCGTGCTGCTCATGTGTAATGCAATCACCCGGCCTACACAGCAGTTTTCACTCACATTGAAAGAAAAGAATGTCCGTTCAGTGTTCTCACAGGGGAGGAGAGGAGGGAAGCTGTAAATCTTGCCTTTACACAGAATGGACCTTCTCTTCTTTCATTGAGAGGGAAAACATCTGTGTACGTCTGGTGAGGGCATTATTATTAAACACATAAGGAGCAGCTTTTGATTACCATTCATTTCCAGTTCCACCCATAAGTGCAGATTTTATAAATGTATCACATTAGGAGCACCGACATCTGTCACTGAGATACATCACCAAAATCAAACAGTTTCATCAAGTGGAAAAGGAATTGACACTTGTAACAATAGCCATCCTGCTATTGGATATTTTAAATTGCAATAGCCAATAGCAGGCTGTCTATTATACCCGCCCATTGCCTGCTGTCAATCAGCAGAAAGAACCTGATTGAGAACTTTGTTTTCAGTTCCTTCCTTTGCTGATTGACAGCAGGCAGTGGGCGGGTACAATAGCCAGCCTGCTATTAGCTAATGCAATTTAAAATATCCAATAGCAGGCTGGCTATTGCTCCCAGCCACTACCTGCTGTATTTACATTCAGTGAATCCAGTGAAGTAGAAAGGTGACACTAGAGGTCTAAAAGACCCCTAATGTCACGTTAAAGAGAACCTGTCACCTCCAATGCATGCAGCCCTGGTGAGAAACTGCCCTAAAATCATTAGTCTGTATTGTTTTAGAAAAAATGTTACATGTCCCTTTAAGAAAAAGTATCGGTAATTGGTATCGGCAAGTACAGGAGGGACCGTACTTGTACTTGCACTTGGTCTTGAAAAAGTGGTATCGGGACATCCCTATATATAACTGTCTCAGCTTGTAACGTGGATCAAGAAGGATTGACAACCAGTAATGATCCTTCTCCTTGATACCACGAATCCTGGGGTCCTTTCTCAGGCTTTGCAGGATAAGGGAGCCCATGCACCTCCCACTTGGGTGTCACTGTAGACCATAAACTCAATAATAGATTACAGTGCCAGGTTGTGGTAAGCAAAGCTAGTAGAGTCCTGTCCTGCATCAATCATCCCTTGAAAACTGCTTATGGCATCTTCTGTTTCAATGCCCCAACGGTTGCCATAATCCTCCTCCTCTTGTGTGATCTGTAGACCCGCAGGAATGGTTTCTGTGTAAAGGAGGCCTTGAGAGGTAAGGAAATCCTCCTCTTCCTCCTGCCTCAAGTGCCCTATCCATATTTTCCTGCAGAGTATGCTCCAACATTAACACAAGAGGGATAGTGTCATTGAGCCAGGATGGTGAGCTGGGACAATGCATTGTCCCAGCTCACCATCCTCCTCACCTCCTCAAATGGTGACAGTACAGTGCATACATCCTTCATCAGCTGCCACTGACATGGGGAAAGAAAAGCCAAGATCCCATGAGCCAGTCCTTGTGCCATACTCACACAGGTACTGGTTGATGGCCCTCTGCTGCTTGAGCAGCCGCTGCAGCATTGCCAAAGCGGAGTTCCACCTTGTGGGCATGTCACAAATCAGACGGTTTGTGGGAAGGTGGAATTCACGTTGAATTTCAGCCAGACGAACACTGGCTGGGAATGAACGCCTGAAATGGCTTCAGACTTTTCTGGTCTGCCTCAGAAGATTTTGCAGCCCTGGGTTCCTGTTTAAGAAATGCTGTACCACGAAATTGAGGATGTGTGCCAAGCATGGTACATGCATCAACTTTCACAGGCGTAGGGTGGAGAGAAGATTGCTGCCTGCATACAACCATTTCTAGCTCAAGCTGCCGTGGTGTTAGCAACCTCTGGGCTTGCCCCTGCAGAGCTGACAGAATCTCTGCCCCAGTGTGGCTCCTGTCCTAGACAAACCAGCTCAAGCACTGCATGGCATCTTTTTGCCTGACCCATTGCGTAGCCCCTTGAATGCTTACAGTGAACTGCTGGTTCACCGGACTATTCTGCAGAAGAGGCCATCATGGAGGACGAAGAAGAGGGGGTGGAGCAGACAGATCTCACATCAGCAGCTTTTTGGAGGCGTGGTGGCTGAACAAGCTCCAGCACGGAGCCCCATCCTGGATCCCTCCCAGGTGCAAGCAGAGTTACCCAGTGTGCCGTGAAGGAAATATAATATCCATGACCATGCTTGCTAGACCATGTGTCAGCGGTAATGTGAACCGTGCTGCTGACTGCCTTGCCCAACAAAGCCAAAATATTGCCTTCTACATGCTGGTACAGAGCTGGAATGGCCTTATCTGAAAAAAAGAAATGGCGTTTGGGAACCTGCCACTGTGGTACAGCACATTCTGCAAACTCACGGAAGGGGGCAGAGTCCACCAGATGGAAAGGCAGCAGTTGTAAAGCTAGCAATTTGGGCAAGCTGGCATTTAGACGCTGAGCATGTGGATGGGTGGGACAGTATTATTTTTTTCCGCTGCAGCAGCTGGGGCAGAAAAAATGTGACTGCTAAAATCTACAGCTGGTGGGCTGATGTCAGAAGAACCTGCGACACCCATTGCTATACCATCATTCCTCTCAGTGGAGGTTGTTGACATGGCATGACGTGTAGTGGGGGTAGAGATGACAGATGAGGAACGAGGAGAAGTGTGGCCCATTCTGTGGTGCGGCTGTCAACGGGCTGCGTGGCAGGTGGTCAGATGTCTCTTCAAGCACGTTGTACCCAAGCGGTTGATGTTTTTGCCACGCGTGATCCACTTCAGACAAAGGTTGCAAATAGCAACCTGAGTTCCTGGAAGCGTGCTGTGAGACAACAGCGCCTTGCACTAGTGCAGCTCTGCCTTCCGATGCAATGGGGTGGCTGCTCATACAGCTGCCCCTGGAGGACATCCTGCCTCGTTGAGCCTCCTCCTCACTTCAGTGACATCATCATCATCCCCTCTGTCCTCATCATTAAAGCCAACCTGGCAGTATGCTGCGGCTGGGGGAACATGAGTGCCAGTTTGTTGTCCATCATTGGCACCCCCTCCCTCTAGGCTCATGTTACTCCCTTCCTCAACCTCAGAGCCAACATCAGACCATTGCAATTGCTGCACATCCTCCAGCAGCATTTCACTAATGGTGTGTTCAAACAATTCAGCTGACTCCTTCCTGGCATGCTCTCTCTTTTCTTTCATATCTGTTCTCTTTATACTGGCTGTTCCAGGTTGTATTGTGCTTTCTGCAATCAGTCCACAATCCCCAGAAACACAGAAGGTAATTTTAATTTGAACCTGCCTCTGATATTACTGGTTTCTTTCCAAGATACTCTAAGCTGCAGCACATAAAAGCTTCCAGAAAGTCCTCAAAGCCTTGCCATGGTCATTTAGAGAGTTCATACCATCAGGGGTCAATAAGGAGTTCAGCAGGGAAGAAGGTCCTATTCTCTTCAGTTGGACAGGGAGTTCCAGTCTAGCCCTTTCAGGCATTGTCATAGATCTCCTCGCCCACGACATTACAGTGTTGGGCCTGTGGGGCGGGTGCCATTCCTGGAAAGCTTGAGTTTGAAGTCTGTTTCAGAAATATGGTGGGTGGCTAAGAGTCAGAAGCAAAAGAAGTCCAATCCTTTATCCAAGGAGCAGTGGCTAAGAGTATGCAGCAGTTTTCTGTATGATCAAAAGTCCTTGGAGGCTTCTACTTAAGGGATGGGTCTAAAGTCTCATCGCTCTTTGCATGAGCCTTTTGTGTCCCTGTTTTTGGATTTAGATGAGGTTCCAGAAGAGTCATATGTGCTTGACATCACACTGGTGCCGTTGCTTGTAAAAGTGCTCAAGAAAGCCATTGATTGGGAGGAGGCGCAGCCTCCAGACACAAAAGTTTGGAAATATTATCCATCTTTAAAGTCAGATTTGAGATCAGGGAAATTACTGAAGAGGAATGGGCGAATCCCGATAAGCGGATTAGTTTTTTCAAATGCTATCCTTTGAAGGCTTCGGATTCTGAGTTTTGGGATTCCCTGAAGGTGGATGCAGCTTTGCAGCAGCTGGTGAGGCATGTTGCTCTTCTGGTGGATGATTCAGTGACATTTATGGGCTGCAGGGTGGACACTGATCTCAAAAGAATTTCCACCACAGTGGTAGCAGCCTGCAATCCTTCAGTAGCGCTCAGGTCTGTTGCCAGGGCTCTTAGGTCGTGGGATAGGAACAGGGAATCTCCTGGCTTGTTCCTGATGACACTGATCTCCATGTTCCTGAACTGGCTTATACTACTACCCACTCCGGCTCATGACCTTGGCTTGTTCCTGTTTATGATTTTTGCTTGTTTCTGTTGACACTTTTCCTAATAAAGTATATTTAACTAGCACCTTATGCTTGTCTGGTTTTCAATGTGCTCTGACAGATATGGATCGGGCTTCTATCATCATGGCTTTGGAATTTTTTTTAAGTTGTCTGTGGAGTTGTCGCGGAAGCTGTGGTGGATATGGTCTGATTCTTGGCATGGATAGTGTCCTTATCGGTGACTGTGAGACGTGCTTTGTGGTTAAAATATTGGTTAAGAGATACGGCATCAAAACAAGGACTTTGTTCTATTCCTTTTTCTGGGAAGTCTCAAGATAAGAGAAGAAGGGCACAGTACTTTTGTTTGGGAAGAAGAGAAAATCAAGACCAGTTTTTGTGATGCCCAATCATACAAGCCAGAGAGAGTACTTGAGGGCATCATGGAGGCACTCAGAGTTCCTTTCTTAGAGCTCTTGCCTGCCCGTCACTCCGACTCATGGGAGCAAGGTTATCCTTTTATCTGGATGATCTCTGCCTAATCGCTGATTCAAAAGATACCTTGATTCTTCATGGAAACATAGTACTGCGGACTCTGACATTTTTGGTGGCTGGTCACTTATCAGAAAAGTCAGCTGAAGCAGTCACAGACCCTCCGTTACTTGGGGGTGATTTTCAACACCAAGAACAAAGTTTTTTTTACCTCAGGACAAGATTCTTCACATTCGGAGACAGGCTCATCAGTTGATGCAGGAGAGGTCGGTGGAGGCCAGGTGTTGTATAAGCTTACTGGGATCGCTGAACTTGACCATTCCTGTGGTTCCTTGGGCTCATTGGCACTTGCAGTCTCCAGTTCTCTTTTCTTCAACAGTGGAAGAGGTGCTCCCTACCTCAGCCTTTCTTTCTTCCCGAGATGGTCAGAAGCTCTCTCTAGTGGTTGACTTCCAAGGAGTACCTTTCTGTGGGTAGGTCCTTCAATCCTGGAGATTAAATCATTATTACATCAGATGCCGGTCCCCTGGGTTGGGGACTGGCATCTGAGTCTGGGTCAGGGGATTCAGGTGCAAGGTCGTTGGCAGCAGATTCCTTCGAGAGCATCCAATTACTTTGAAGGCCTTTCAGTCGCTCATTTTGGGTCATCTTCTGGACAACAGAACTATGGTGGCTCATCTTTCGCATCAAGGGGGCATGATGAGTTTTTTCCGTCTGTGAATAGTAGCAATGATTTTTTTTAAATCCACTGGATTTAACGGCGGCATACCTTCCGCATGCTCAGAATTCCCTGGCAGATTTCCTGAGCCATCTCTTTCCCAGTTATGGGGAGTGGAATCTGAACAGCAGGTATCTTCTCCTGATTTATTTAGTTTGGGGTACCCCTTTAGAGGACCTCATGGTGATCCCATGGAATACTCAATGTGTCTTCTCCCAGTTCCACTCAAGCTACGTGGCAGGGTGCTCTTCTGTTTCTGTGGGACATTACTCTGGCCTATGTGTTTCCTCCTTGTGGTCCTCATTCCTTAGGTGCTTCAGAAAATCCAGTGGGAGAAGGTCTGAGCTATTGCCATTTTTCTGCGTTGGCTGAGGAGGAATTCGGTATCCACTCCTACAACGTCTTTCAAGCAAGCTCCCAATTCCACTTCCAGTGGGATCAGCTATCTCAGGGTCAGTTCTTCCATCTGAATCTGAAGAGACTAAATTTGCTAGCCTGACAATTGACTAGTGACAATTAGAGGCTCTGGATTTGCTTTCTGCAGTGATTGGGGCTTTGATTAAATCCTGCAAACCTTACACAAAGTCTACTTACTTCAGAATGAGGAAACATTTATTTGAGCTTGGTGAGAAGAGGGCGCTTGATCCCCTGAAGCCAGGGATGGTGGACATTCTAGTATTTTCACAGGAGTGCCTTGATTTGGGTCACAGTTGCCGTACCCATACAATGCATATTTCCGCCTTAACGCCTTCTGCTTTTCCATTAATTTTGTAGTTCATGAAGGGAATCCTAAAAATTCAGCCTCCTCTCAAGACTATGGTACCGAAGTGGGATTTGCGTCTAGCCCTGGAAAGGCTCATGGGTCCTCCTTTCTTTCCTTTGGACTCTTGCTCTATGTGGCACTTGACTTTGAAGGTGGTATTCCTCATTGCGAATGTTTCGGCTAGGAGAGTTTCCGAGATTTTTGTTTTTTCTTCCAAGTATCCCTTTTGCACATTCTATGAAGGTAAGGTTGTCCTTCATCCTTTTCCCTATTTTCTGCCTAAAGTCACTTCAGAGTTTCACCTAAACTGGGAGACTGTCTTTGCCACTCATTCTTCCTAGGAAGTTGCATCAGACTCTTTACGATAGGAGAGGTTGGATCTGGTTAAACTCCTCTCAATGTAGTTGAGGATAACAGAAGAGTTCAGGAAGGAAGGAAGATCCTTTCAGGTTCAAATAAAGAGAAAGTGGCAAGGCCAAGAGTTAGTAAATTGTTCTTTTTTTTGCATTCTACTCGAGAGTACTTGTATTTATTTTTATCCCATCCCATTGTTGCTAGTTACATTCCATAGGTATGCTGACATGAGGAGGCAAGGCATACAGAAAAATGTTATCTTCTACTTAATGTAATTTTTTTTCCTGGCCTATCCTCATGTCAGCATAATTTGCCCAACCTCAAGTGTCCTTTCACTAGCCAAAAGTCAACATGAAGGGGGGGCTGACTCATGCAGTTTTTTTATAGGCTAGGAAAGGGTTGTCCTGGGTGGGATCAGAGGCGGAGCTGACCTATAGGTATGCTGACATGGGGGAAAGGCCAGGAAATTAATATTACAGTAAGCAGAAGATAACAAATTTATGCATCTTAGGTTATGGTTTCAGCTTCTAGTGTACCGATTCATTTTTGAATCCATCATGGAGCAAAAGAATACAGACAATTTTTGTTTATTTCATAATGTTTTTACAGCCATTTTGACAGTTTTATAAGTATTTGTTTTCCAAGCATGTTTTGGGATGCATCCACCCCATGAAAGACTTCACCAGTATAATGATCAACACTGGTGAATCCAGCGACAAGGGATGAGCAAAGTGATTTTGAAGCAACATTTTGCAGGAAATCTCAATTTCACTTACTGAGATGCTTAGGCAAACTTTGCTTTGGATAAAAAAAGTTCTACACTTTTTATTTTCATTATTTAAATGAAATGTTTTGTTTCATTATTTGTGTACTGTCTACATTACTGTACATGTTTTTATTTTAATTTTTTCTATGTCTTTTTTCATTTCTATGATGAAGAACGAGACTAATGAGGGGTTGTGTTCCCTAACCTAACCATAGATAATGTCAAATTATGTTTTTATATTAATTTACAAAAAAAGTTAGACTGACAACAACACTTTTTAAGCATATTACAGCAAGCATCAGTTACTGTTTTACAATCATTCCAAAAAACAATTTCTACAGTAAAAAATAATAATTTGTGTGGTGATACAAATTTATGCTTACCGCAACACTTTTATAATACCAAAATGCAGTGCTAGAATACTATTGAGAGAGATTATGTGGATTGGTAATTTGTTATGATGATAAAAAATGTAGAATATCTGCTGTGCTATTTTGTGTTTGTGTAATATATGGGCATTCTGAATACTTACAAGGAAGCTTACAGACAACTAAAGCTAATAAAAAAAGCTGACATGTTTTCCTAAAATAATGCATAAAAATGCAAATTCTCTGTGGGTCTTAGCTATTCTTTCTCTAACTAGTATTAAGAGAACTGATCCTCCCAAAGAAGGATTTGTGATGGTTCAGGCCAATTCGCCAAAGGTGGAACTGTGCAAGGTTTTGATGCTCTGCACCAAAGTGATTAGTGACATTTTGGCTCCATGTTTGCAGCAGTTGGTAGACCTCCTTATAATGCGTTGGATGAGTTTCAAGCCTGTACTACTGCCTCCTGTCCTTTATAGCAGAAATGCAAATAAATTATAATAAAAGTTGAGATGAGAGCTTGAGCCTTAATGTTAAAAGATAAATATGTTTGCAAGAAAATTAATTTCTTAGTACTTTCAGGTTACCTGAATTTCTGTAAGCAGGGCTCCTAAAATGGGGTCTGATTTTAAATTAAACTTACAACAATAGATTAAAACAACTGGTTTTAACTAAATACATACAAGAAAGTGAATTATTTAAAGTGACACTAAATTCAGGAGTTAAATCTTAAAAATGCATTCAAGTACCTTAACTATTAACAAAATGTAGCTTATTTGTGTATCACTCGGCTGTAGATCCTCCAATCATCCCTGAATTTGCACTAACACTGTTCTTCCTTCTGGAGGGTGTCTGCTTTCATTTCCAATGGTCTCTGTGCGTGTTGTAAAGCCACCGCTCCAAGCTTGCTCCTATGATGGATTACAATCACAATACAAATTAGTAAACTAAATGTGAGATTTTAGTCCATCACAGAAGCAAGCTTGGAGCTTGTCACGCCGTCACATTTCAACACACATTACACAGGCATGACCCACTGTTGTCACCATCAGGAAATTCAGCCTAAATAGAACTAGCAGCCAACACTGGAGACATGCATGTAGCCAAAACATGGCTGTAAAAAATATACTGTATACAGTCTGTTAAAGTAGTTGTGAATCCATAGTGATTATAATGAACATCCTGGAGGGGAATATCAATTAAGCCACCATTAAAAAAAACAATCCAAAATTGCTTCTCAAACACCTTAATTAGATGCTTTTTGTATTCTATCACATGACCGCAGTTGCTCTTCGTACTACCCTGGGCTCCGCTGTCCCTGTGCAGGCCCAGGACCAGCACAGCAGGTCTCCCCGCATCAATCGGAGGGAGATCAGAAAGCTTTTAGCTGCTGATATCACCTTTGATCACTCGACCCGGAAGTGATGTGTATTTCATCACTTCCGGTGTCACTGTGCACATTCTTTGGCGAGTAGAGCCAGGAGAAGAAGCTGGTGAAGCAGATCTCTGCTTCGTCGGGGTCCCTAAGTGACATTAGGGTCCTGAGAGAGTCCTGATGTCTCCAAAAAAAGGAACTCTCATATCCTATTTGCTATTACATAGGGGGCTTGTTAGCCCCTTATGTGATAACAATACAGTTAAGTGCAAAAAATAAATAAAACAAAACCAATTTAAATAAATTAAAGTAACAGATGACACTGATCTCCATGTTCCTGAACTGGCTTATACTACTACCCACTCCGGCTCATGACCTTGGCTTGTTCCTGTTTATGATTTTTGCTTGTTTCTGTTGACACTTTTCCTAATAAAGTATATTTAACTAGCACCTTATGCTTGTCTGGTTTTCAATGTGCTCTGACAGATATGGATCGGGCTTCTATCATCATGGCTTTGGAATTTTTTTTAAGTTGTCTGTGGAGTTGTCGCGGAAGCTGTGGTGGATATGGTCTGATTCTTGGCATGGATAGTGTCCTTATCGGTGACTGTGAGACGTGCTTTGTGGTTAAAATATTGGTTAAGAGATACGGCATCAAAACAAGGACTTTGTTCTATTCCTTTTTCTGGGAAGTCTCAAGATAAGAGAAGAAGGGCACAGTACTTTTGTTTGGGAAGAAGAGAAAATCAAGACCAGTTTTTGTGATGCCCAATCATACAAGCCAGAGAGAGTACTTGA